AGACAGTGCTACCACTAGTTGAGCCCCTGAGAGGTGCCAGGGGCCATTCTAGGGAGCGGTCTGTAGGCGTCACTGCATGTGATCCTTACTGTACGTGATCCTCGCCGTGTTCCAACGAATGGATGTCATTATGGTTTTACCAATACATGTCAAGCCTGAGATGCAGAGAATTAAAACAACCCGCTCAAGGCCACCCTGCCTGAGACCACAATTTGAGCTCTGGTCACCTGGCTTTAACACCAGAGCCAATGTGTGATGATCTTAGATTTTGACTCCCAGACAGCCGTCTGGACTCCCCCACTTCAGGGGTCTCGGGTGGGGCTGAGTCCCTCAAACGCTGGCAGCGTGCTGGTCACCGGCTCCTGCTGCTCCCTGCCTGGAGAGAATCCCAGAGACCGTCTTGGTCCAGAGGACACACGGAAACCCTTTGCCCTTGCACTTAACAGCTTCGGAACGTTGCTTAAACCCCAGAGCAGCATCAAGAACAGGCTGATCCTCGGCAACATCTTATTTTTTGCAGTTGTGACTAATTAGAACATCTCTAACTTCTCTTGCACTTATTTTAAGCCATAAAACAACCGTGACTGCCAAAAGCCTGCTTGTCCTGGAAAAAACAGTGAACTCAAATAGATGGCTATTAACAGCAGCTATTGTAATAGACAATAGTTTCTGGGGTCAGCAAACAGTAGCCTGGAGTTAGCCTCCAGCATCATCCGTCCTCAGGGGGTTTGGAGGGGCTGGTTCCGGTGCAATTCTCCAATTAAATCTTGATGCACCTGCTCGTGGGGACTGCTGGGGTGACGTAAGGCCTCCGCTCCGTGGGCAGACCCTACTGATGCAGGAGTCTGGGGACTGGAGGCTGGGGGCTGGCCAGATAAAGGTCCCCTTTTTACGAATTGGGCTTACCTTTTAAAACTGTTTTATTGAAGAGAATTACTCTGACACCATATAGCCATTATGAAAAGTGACTTTGAGATTATTTTATCCAGGGCTGCAGCCTTAAATTGGGTTCCCAACTTTCCCGGTGGGAAAAGTCGCAGAGTCTGTCTTGAACCTTGCTTCCAAAGCTGAGGGGCTGCACCTTCAAGCAGCCCTGGGTTGAGGTTGCCTGGTGACCTGAGGCAGGTGGCTGACCTCCTCTGAGTCTCAGTTTCTTCATCTCGAAATTGGGCTAATAGTGCCCACTCGCAGGGCCATTGTGTGGAACCAATCATGGGAGGAGGAGACGGGGAGCAGGGGGAGGACATGGGACATCAAGTGCTTTGCACCATGTCCAGCAGCGGGCAGGCGCTCAATAGGCGCTGGCTGTCGGTTAGTGGCATTCACAGCACGTCCTAACTGCCACCAGGCTCTGAGCATGACTTGAGCTGATGGGTGTGGTTGCACAGCACCCAGGACCCACGAGACGGCCACTCCTCCTTCATCAGCTGCTTCGTCCCATTTCAGAGACATGTCATGGCTGCTGGTTTTCGTTCTTTGGGTGCTTCCAAAATGCCAAGCATTGTGCTAAGAACTTTGTGTCTCACACATGACAGAATCCTTGCAATGTCCCTTGCAATATCGAGTAACCTCTAGGTTCATCCCCATTTTACAGCTGGGGAAACTGAGGCTGGGAGTGGCTCCCTAACTGGACCAGAGTCACTCAGTTTGGAAGAGGTGGCGCCAGCATCTGACACCAGACCCCGCTCCTGACCACTGCAGAAGGGGCAGGAAACGCTGCTTTCCTTTTTTAAAATAAAGACACTTGACATTTTGCTAGGGGGCTGTCTTTGCCCGTTGGTCTAATTTTAGAGACATTGTTCCAGGGAGATTTTCCGTGTAGTCGATACCTGCTGTGGTTCTTGAAAATAGAATTGTGCTTTTTGACAAGCTCTTTTTCTCTTCCTGAGATGCACTTAAAGGAGTGAGGCTGCAAGGGGCATCAAGCCCAGGACGGCCAAAATGCCGGACCCCAGTGTGTCTCCACCACCTGCCACAGGGGGCCGCTCCAGCCCAGCCCACGTTACAAAGTATCCCCCACTTATGCCCTAGAAATTCAGCCAGACCCAGACCCCTTGCTCTTCACTCATCGTCCTAGGAATCTCAGGTTTCGCCGTCTCCTTATTTGCTCCTGCACGTTACAGAGCTAGTGAGGTGCAGCAGCCTTCCGGGGATTCTGTTATGGGGTTGTTTGGTCCCAGCCCAGGGCAACCGCCGTTCATTGACAGATGACCACACAGCAGCCTGAAAGATGGGAGGAAAGGCATGTCCGGGAGGCTCCACTGAGAAGTAACATTCTCTCCTGCAGAGGGCAAGTGCCCTGGGCTTCCAAAGGACAGACATCCGTTTGTATTCTCTTACTGAAACGGGAGACAGTGTCTTAGGGAAGCAAAAGGGCGGGAGTCCGACTGGCGAGAGGCTGCTTCAGCAGAGAATCTGGGGGCAGTTTGATGTCGGGGAGAGCATGAAACCATGGCCCGTGTGTCCAGTCCTGCACGGAGGGTGACCTTGGGAAAGTCTTCCGACCTCTGTTGCTCTTTACCTGCCAGAGGAAGGAGGAATGCTTGCCCTCCACCCGTCCCCTCCCAGCCCAGCAGTCTCCCGTTCTGGGCTCTCTGTCGTTAGCAACAGTGGGGAGTGATTTTTCTACAGGGTTATTTTTGGTGGGGATCTGGCAGACATCCAGCTGGCGGTACATTTATTCCTCACACGGTTGGTATCAATCTTCTTGGATTCTGTATGTGTGTGTCTGGGTAGAATTCTAAGATGCTTGAGCTGGAAAGAAAAACAACAACCATTTAGCTGGCAATTCTATTTTTTTAGTCATTGAAGGAGCCGAGTCCCTGAAAGATTAGGTGCTGTCTAGTCACCAGCATCATTATCATCATTGTCGTCTGACAACACTTTACAACGGGCTTTCCCTGCCGTCGTCTCAGGTTATCCTGTCAGTACTCCTCATGTCATAGCCTCAGAGAGGCTGAGTAACTTGCTCAAGGTCACAGAGCAAATTAGGGGCAGAGCTAAATTACAAATCCAGGCCCACTCATCATTGTTGCCATCTGGCACTTTTGTTTTAGAAGAGATGTTATAGACGTGCGTGGACATCCACGTGGTTACCTTCTGGGTAAGTGAGCATATTGCCAGTCTCAGTCTCTCAGTGCCCAGGGCATCGCCTGGAGGAAAGTTGGTCAGATGAGTGGCAGACTCTCCCCTTAGGCTCACCTCTTGGTCACTAATTGGTACATTTTGGTGGCACAAGGTCTCTGGCTGGACAGTACCACAAACTTCCTTTCCACCACAGCTACAAGGCTCCAGGCAGAAGAGGCACAAAGATTACCACTGCCTGCGTTTCGTGATTCTATAATTTCCTTAGAATATGTTTTTCACTTTGAAAGATAAAGTAGAAAAGGCATGGATTTTGGCACCAGATCTGTGTTCAAATCCCAGCTCCCATTGCTGGGATTACCAGCAACCCATCTAACCTCTCCTGATCAATGAAAATACGGTGCAAAACTAGGAAGGCTGATGGGCTCGAGTATCCTTACCCCTCAAAGGAAAAACATCACCCCTCTTGTATTTTTAGCCACAGAAAATCTCCATTAACATCTTGCCCTTCAAACCCGCCTGGGAGGTTTGCCCCTCTGCCTTGCCTTCCTCATGCACAGGGGGCTCCTTCCAGCTGCCCGTGCTGTTGGCCGCCAGCAGATCAGACTTCATGGTTTACAACGTTTTTGTGTACTTGCTGGGGAAGAGATACTCCTGTGTATTTTTTAGATTGAGATATAATTCATGCGTGTGTGTTCAGCAGAATAGATTACCTCTCAGAACCACAGAACTTTACAACCAGGGGTTATAGACCAACACTGTCATTTGCGAGTGAAGAAAGAGGAACGGGAAACTTCATGACTTGATCGAGGGCGCAATCACGAGCTGCAACTGTTTCCTAGTTTGCAGCTCAGTGCTTTTCTGCTACCAACTTTTTATGGCAAAAGCAAAACAGAAAACACCACTCGCCGGTAGCATTTGACACCGTCCATGGCATCCTTCACATCACTAAATGTTTTCCCTGGTTTTGCCACGTGGAGGAGTTGGTGCAGGCAAGGCCACCCCCGGAACTCACCCCATTCTCCGGAGTGTCCTCCAGACTTGTCCCAGCCATCCCAGAGCACGGGTGCTCACTTCCATCAGAAGCAAGATGTCCAACAGTGACCATTATATTTGTAGCAGTTGTTGGTGGAAATCTGTTAGCAAAATGCAGCCAGAGACAAGCTGTACCGCGTGCATCACAGTCACCCGGCAGCTTGTTAACATGCAGATTCCCAGGGCCTCTGGTGGGGGTACCCCCAGTTCCACAGGTTAGAGCCAGGTTCCTTGGTGATGGGAGCTCGTCACGTCTGAGCCGTGGGCGTCAGACTAACAGCTCTTGGGGAGGCCACACCAGTTGTTTAGGGTGACTTGGAAAGAACATCCCAGTAAAACCTGGTCACGTAGTGGGACCAGACTGAGCAAGGGCTGCAAAAAGGTCAGCACCGGTGGACAAGGTGGCTCATTGTATCTCAGAATGGGTTCATTTAAACGTCTTGCTCATTACATGTTAGTTTATGGAATTATTTTGTGACAGAATTTAAGCTGCTGTTTTTTAATTCAAAAGACATCATTTTTTTAAATTAAAGAAAAATCTGGAAATCTTATAGGACCAGCATGTACCTCAGAAACAGTTTTTCTTTGCCTATTGCTGCACGCAGCCGGGTTGAGGCCCCTACAGTCACCTGGCGGCTGCGCAGGAGTCTGTTCCCCGAGGCGTTTACAGTGAGGGAGGTGTGGCCGGCCCAGGGCCAGGCGGTGGCGACAGAGATGAGCAGAGGAGATCTCAGCTCTCATGGACCCACCTTCCAGTTTGTCATTTCAGTGCGACATCCTTTTCTTGAGAGTGAAATCATGTGACCTCCACGTAGACAGCAACACCACCGTCCAAAGACCAGACAAACTAATGCACCAGTTCTACTGGCTTCATCTTCTAGGAATTAGCGGTGGCCCCTTGGAAAACCACTACAGACTAAAGCAGTTCCACCTCCACTGGGGAGACGCGAACGAGTGGGGCTCAGAGCACACCGTGGACGCCCACGCTTTTCCGGCAGAGGTCTGTAGACGTCATCCTAGCAAGAATTGTGGGTGCTTTCTACCCTGCTTGGTTGCCCAGAAACAAAGGATTTCTCTAGTCATAGGGGACTCCCACTGCTCAAACTGGAACAATTCACTGCCCTACCCATTCAATCACACAACTTTCCTAACAGGAGAGTACTGTTAGCACTTTGATTTAACAGAAGAAGAGACTGAGGTTCTGAGTGGTTACGTAACTTGCAAAGTCAGACGGCTGGGATTCAAGCACAGCGTCTGCGCTCTTAGCATCTCTCTCAGCCACCCCCTTGCTGCCGGTAGATTATAGACTAGAAGCTTCCTGTCCTTCAAGGCAGGCGAGGCTTTCTATTGAGAATCTGAAAATCTTCACAATAGAGATCATGTTCTTCAAGCAAAGTGATATTTGCAACATTCCAAATGGGAGTCAGTAAGTCACAGGAGTGGAGACAGATGTTAGGAGCTGGGTTTTGTAGTTACGGTGGGGTGACGGATGATGCCTTACAGATTTCCCCCGGTATTTTATTATGAAATTTTTCCAACATACAAAAAAATGGAAACAACTGTGCGGTGAGAGCCCGTGCACTGCCACCAGATCCTGCAATTGACATTTTGCCACAGTCACTTGATCACACGGCTGCCCCCTGGCCCGTCCCTCCGCCCCTGACCAGGCACCTGGACTTCTGATGCATTTCAAATTAGGGACTGTTCCGTCTCAACTTTTTGTGGCCGTTGAGGGGAAGGAACACGATAGTGAAAATAGCACTAGAGGCCAGGCCACTGGAAACGTGAAAATCACCTATGATCACACACCCAGAGTTTAAAAATAGGGAGTCACGTCCCTTGCTATGTTATACATGTATTTACAAATATGACAGAAATAGAGGAACACTAGCTTGCCACATGCTCCCTTTGGTTTAACAACTCGCCTTCTATCTTAGTAACTGTGTGTCTGCGCTGTGGTTTTTAATGAACAGCTATTTTAACAGAGGAAGTTGTGATTTATTAGAGGAGATCAGCGCTCGGGACCCGCCAGGGCCTCTCCCTGAGTGGGGCCGAGCAGGGGCTGCGGCCGTCCTGGCCACGCCTCTGGCCCAGGCTGGAGCCTACCGTTCCTGGGGGGTTGGGGAGGCAAAGCCAGCTCTAAAGGCAGGGTCTGTGACGGAAGAAGCCTTCTGTGGGGGCCAGGGCCCAGCCATCTCTGTTTCTGGGTGACGGCACTAGGACAGTGGGCGGGGGCTTCAGGTGAGCTATGCACCAGCAGGGAGAGGCCATGCCACTGTCACTGTCCCCGATGTGCATGGCCAGAGCACTGAGGCTTGTGTGGAGTGAGGTGCCACACGGGGCACATGAGGGCCCAGCACCCTCGGCAGAGCCCTCCAGGCCCTGGAATCCAGCTGCTGCATAGGGAGGGAGGGTCTTGTTGACCATGAGAGGCCACAGGCTTTCTGGGCTCTGGCTTGGTCGCCATTCAGAAAGGCCTGGCCACAACTCATGCCTGTAAAGGGGAATATGTACAGACACCCAGGGCCCTTCTAGACGCTGAACCAAACTCAGCCTCCTCAGGACCACGTGTTCTCGTCACACAGAGCCCCAAGCCAGGCCTGGTTGTCCTGGTTCTGCCTCCTGCGCGCCAGTGACCCAGGAAAGCCCGTTTCCCCAGCCCTTACCCGCCTCTGATTTAGATCCTTGTCACCTGGCCAATCCCGATGCCGAGTTTGGGCTTAGGAAAACCAAAGGAGGGAAGTAAAATAAAGTCACAGACGAAGTTCAAGGTAGGGTGACAGATATAGAAGAAAAGAATGCAACATTTGGGGCACACTTAGACTAAAAAATTATTCGTTGTTTATCTGAAATTCAAATTTAACTGAGAGTCCTGGATTTTATTTCGCAGCCCTCGTGCAAGGATGTCTGAGAGCAACAAATAGTCCAACCGCCAATTTCTATTTTATAAAGTTGAAACGTGCCTCCTTTCTCTCGCCCCGACCCGCCGAGGCCCCTCCTCTGCGTGCTTTCATTGTTCGCTCAGCGCTGCAGCCCCCTCAGACCCAGCCATGATGCTGAATTCATTAAAATCATTAAATGGACATATAGGTCTGCCCCACAGAAGGAGGAGTGACTCTTTTGTTTCTTGCCGCATCGTGATAAATGTCATTTCTCTCGCTCCTGTGTTCCAGCTGCATTTAGTCCACTGGAATTCGGTGAAATACCAGAATTACAGCGAAGCTGTGATGGGAGAGAGCGGCCTGGCGGTGATAGGCGTCTTTTTAAAGGTAATCCTGCCAGGGCGTAGCTCTTCCAGAGAAGAAAGTCGTGTGCGGGAACCAAGAACTGCCTTTAGACACGGCCGATTTAGAGTGAACTGTGCTGTCGTCCTATCTTCTGCTTTTCCAAACCAATGTTTCGTGTCTGTGCTGTACAGCTGGGCGCCCATCACGAGGGGCTGCAGAAGTTGGTGGACGTCCTGCCGGAAATAAGGCATAAGGTGAGCTACGTATTTTGAAAGCAGCGTGATTGGAAAAGTAAAATTGTTTAGAGTAATGACTCATTTGCAAGGGAGAAAAACCATTTTGGTGGCCAGAGCATTGCAGAGGGGGTCTGAGGCCGGGTCTGGGAATGGAACCCCCAGGGGCCGATTCTAGTTGTGTGGCTCCCTGGCTCACACTCTGACCTCGAAGGCGTCACTGCTATCCTCAGGGCCCTCCCTCTGCAGTATAGTAGGGGTGCTGGACTCGAGTTGAGCTTCCCAAAATTGAGTCAATCAGGCAGCATCTTGAAGATTTTTGCTATGTCCACCCACCAGTGGCACTATTATTTACTTAATATCTTTCATTACATGGACCCGCTTTTAAAAATCTTTAGCCTGTCCCAGGCAACGACACCCACTCGTGATAACATTTGCTTTAAAACTGATCGACCTAAGTACCATTAACAATTAAGAGTGCCCGCCCGCGTGCCTCCTAGCGCCCTCGTCCGGAGGGAACTGGGATGGCCCAGGAGAACCTGGAGGCGGGAGGGAGGGACCGCCATGGAAACCCACCACTCGCTCGCTGGTGGCAATGGCTCTTCGCTCAGCTCCTTGTACGCCTTGCTGCGTTAAGCACAGCTCCAAAGATGGCGACGAGAACAATGTAGCTTTTCTCCAACATCAGCTGAGAAAGGACTTTGATGGAGAAATGGAAATTCCAGAGAAATGTCGTTTATTTGTTCGGTACCAAACAAAAGAATTCCAAGCAGGAAGGAGTCACCGTGGTCCTTGGACATGGGGACAGATAGGGCTCTGACCTGTCTTAACAATGGCGAGAGTGGCTCCAGATGAAAGCTGGGGGCCAGCCCTTCCTCGGCTGATTCACAGGGATTGTTTGATCTGTGTGGTGCGTTCCCCTTGATGTTGACCTCCTGGCCTGCCTGGTGGGACGGACAGCAGATCGCCCCCCGCTGCCCTGTCCGCCAGCTCAGGAACTCGGCAAGGTCAAGGTGCTGAGAGCATCCTCTCCGTCGCTGGTCTGCAGCCAGAGTAAACCTGGGATGTTTTCCCCACCAGCGTCCACCTCCTACGTAGCGTGGTCCCCACCTCTTGGCAGGAGAGAGAAGAGCTGACTGAGAGGTGCTGTTTACTCAAGGGGCTGCTTTCCTTCCATGGAAGGTGCTGGAGCGTTTCTCTCCCACGGGCCAACTCCAGCTCTTCTGGGCAAATCGCAGGGCAGAAATGGGTCAGTGGGAGATAGAGGACATGCCTGTGGCTCAGTTCTGGTCCTGACACTCATCTTTGGGGCTCAATTCCTCACCTGAAAAGGAAGAGTGAGACTCTTAAGAGACAAAAGGCCCAGCCTTGGAGAGCAGGAGTCTGTGCTTCGCGGGTGGAGGGTACATTCCATTTCCTGTCATTTGTCACAGTCGGCTCGCCATCCTGGGTTTCCCCAACGTCTGGGTTGATTATTGGAATTTGCGATGTTGTAAGTCTCCTCTGTGCTGTGCACTTCTACAGGTTTTGACAAATGTGTAGAGCCACGGTCCCCCATGCAGGACCATATAGCACGTTCTGTCCTGTGGCCTTTTGGAGCCAACCCCCGAACCTGGGGGAGCTGTGGTCCGTTTCCAGCCCTAGAGTTTTGCCCTTCTCCTGTTTTTATTCTCCCTCGCTGTATCGCGTGGAGCTTTCTCTGTAAGCTACTTCTCTTCCCTCTGGAGTGGGATGCTCATCAGCAGCAAAGAGGACTACACGTCGACCCACTTCTCCCAGCAAAGACATCTGGGGTGGGCGCCCGTCACCACGAGCTGGTCTGTCTGTATTCGAGATGAATGGGTGGTCTCCACCGTAACACCCTGGCCCTCCTGGCTGATGGACACACAAAGGAGGGGCCTTCGCTTGCTCTGGGGGCCCCAAGGGACAGCAGCTGTCTGTAAGCAGAGGGCAGCTCTGAACCCTAACATGCTTAAGAGAGCGACACAGAGGTCCTGGGAATGCTGCTGGAAACATAGGGATGGCCTCTCAGAATTTCAGTGGACAGGTGGTTGGGTCCATCCGTCTGCTCCTGCTCGTGGTCTGCTGCCTTCACCCCGACCCCTGCAGCCCGGGGAGGGAGGAACCAGCCCTGGCTTTGGGACGGGACCGACCTCCCGTAGCATCTGGGTTCTGCCACGTCTAATTACGTGGCTTTGAGAAAGTCACCTACATCTGTCTTACTTTCTTCATCAATAAAATAGAAGCACCTCTCAAGGGTAGTTCGGAAAGTTCAAAGCCTTGGAAGGTGCCTGGCACGTCAGCACCTTTGGGCTGGGGCGGGGGGAGGCGGAGGGCCTTCACTTGTCACCACACACCCACTGGTACTTTTTGCATTTGTCCCATGTGCCCATGTGACCTGTTGCCTTCAGGAATTAACTAGACCACATGGTGGAATATTACCAAGCTGTGAAAAGGAAAGAAGCACTGACACGCACTGCAACGTGGATGAGCCTTGAAGATGCTCTGCCGAGTGAAAGAAGCCACACACAAAGGGCCACATTTTACATGATCCCACTTACAGGGAGCGTCTAGAACAGGCAAAGGCATGGCGACAGAAAGCAGATTAGTGGGGCCTGTGGAGGGGTAGGGGCATGTGGAGGTTGGGGAGGGCTAGCTAAAGAGTACCTCCTGGGGTTCTTTCTTTCTGGAGTTCTTTTTTGAGATGATGAAAATGTTCTAATGTTGACTATGGTGATGGTTGCACATATCTATCTGTGACTACACTAAAAACCACAGAATCATCTACTTTAAATGGGTGAATTCTATGCTACCTGAATTATATTTCTTTTTGCTTGTTTGTTTTTTGTTCTTCCTTTTTTTTTGAGGAAGATTATCCCTGAGCTGACGTCGGCTGCCAATCCTCCTCTTTTTGCTGAGGAAGACTGGCCCTGAGCTAACGTCTGTGTCCATCTTCCTCTACTTTATATGTGGGATGCCTCCCATGGCATAGCATGCCAAGCAGTGCCATGTCCGCACCCGGGATCCAAAGTGGCAAACCCCAGGCCACCGAAGTGGAATGTGTGCACTTAACCACTGTGCCACCGGGCTGGCCCTGAATTATATTTCAATAGTGCTGTTTTTACGACATTAACCAGACAATTAATTACAAAGTGGAACAGCAGGCAAACACGAGGCAATTTCTAAGTGTCTGTCACTGTGAATCAATTTACTTCCTTCTCTTTGGCAGCTTAATTAACGTCCCCCTGTTCCAACTGGTGAGAGTCAGCAGCTAGGGGACAAGCCAGGTGGTGGGGCCACTTGCTTTTGGCTTTGAAGGCTGGGTGGGAGGACTTTGCTGGGCAGGGCGGCCACCTTCCTTGGGGATGGGGGAGCGTCTGCTTAGTGCTTGAACACCCTCTGTGGGACCCGGAGTGCGTCTGGGTCTGGAGCTGAGGCCGTTACTCTGGGCCTGGTTAGTGTTAACTTGCTTCTGGGCCTGTGCCCTCGGCCTTTCAGGCTCACTTGCTTTACAGAGGCGTGGAGGCCACTGTCCCGGGCCTGCCACCCTGAGGGACCCCCCAGGGATCTTTTCCTCTCTGAGTAAAAGCCTGCTTGGATGACTTTGGCTTGCAACAAGGCAGAGACCGGCCAAGAGGCTCTCCTTTCTCTTTACACCCCCGGGGGCTGTGCTGAGCAGCATCCAGACAGCAGCTCCAGTGCTCCTGCCCCTGTTGGTGGGTTTCTTCAGGGGTCCCCATCCCTGGGCAGAAGCAGGGCTGTCCCCAACTGCAGGCGCTCTTCCCACTGGTCTCTTTTTATTGCTTTTGTGTCTCATTTACTCATTCCAGCCATGTAGCCTCTTTGTTGTTCCTCAGGCCCATTGGGTCACACCCTGTCTCAGGGCCTTTGCACTGGCTGTGCCGGCTTCCTAGAAGGCTCTTCCCCTGAAATCTGCATGGCCTCTTCCTTCACCTCCTCCATGTCTTTGCTCAAATGTCACCTTTGCAGTGAGGCCTTAGGGACCACCCCTCTTAAAACACCAGCCCCACACCTGAATCTCTTACCCCACGGTCCTGCTTTGCTCTGCTCCATCACCCTTACCACGTGTGAACTGCTGGGTGTCTGACTCACTCAGTTCGTGCGCTGTCCGCATCCCTCCAGTGAGAGGTGAGTCCCCGAGGGCAGGTGGTTTGGGCTGCTTCATTTACTGCAGTACCTGCAGGGCCTAAGACGGGCTCGGTTTACCGCAGCGCTCGACAAACAGCTGTGAGGGAATGAATGAATGAATGAATGAATGGTGGCAGCCCACTTGAAACTCAGAGAGGCAGGTTTCTCACTCTCCTTCTATGAAACAGGGAAAGCAAGCAAACCAAGGGCTCCCCTGAGCAGGAGGGTGTGCTGACGGGAGCCCCTCCTCGAAGCAGCTCCGAGAGCCTGGCACACAGTCATGGAACAACCGTGAGGAGGAGGAAAATCCTGGCATGTGGGTCAGGGAATCCCGCACAATGGACAGCGTCCTCCTGAGCCTGTGGCATTGCCACGCGCGTGCGTCAGGGAGGGCTGCCGGGAAGGGGGGTCCAGCTGTCCTAGAAGTGTAATATTTTCTGGTGTAGTCACTGTGGGAAACAGTCTGGTGGTTCTTCAAAAACTTACACGTACACTCACCATAGGATCCAGCAATTCCACTTCTGGGTATACACCCGAAATAATTAGAAGCACGTCTAGAAGAGATATTGGTACATTTGTGTCAATGGCAGCATTAACCACAACAGCAGAAAGTGGAAGCAACCCAAGTGTCCACCGACAGATGAATGGATAAACAAAACGTGGTCCACCCACACGACGGAGCTTTGTTCAGCCTTAAAGAGGAAGGGAATCCTGACACCTGCTACAACGTGGATGGACCTCGAGGACTTTATGCTAAGAGAAATAAGCCGATCTCAAAAAGACAAATACTGCAGGATTCCACACACACGAGGGACCTAGAGTCGTCAGATTCACAGAGACAGAAAGTAGGACGGTGGACACCAGGAGCTGGGGGAGGGGGAGGGGAGTGAGTGTTCAACGGGCACAGAGTTTCAGTTTGGGAAGATGACAAAAATTCAGGAGATGGATGGTGGGGATGGTTGCACAACAATGTGAATGTCATTAACACCACTGAACTGTACATTTAAAAACGGTTAAAATGGTGAATGTTCTGTTATGCATGCTATTTTACCACCATTTTTAAAAGTGTAATATTTTCACAGCCAAGGTATATGAAAATGAATAACTTTAAAAGGAAACAAATGAGCATTTGGTAGGAATCCCTGCTCTGACAGAATAGTCACATTTTCTTGTTACTGCTTCCAAATGTGAGAAGCCCGGCCCCACAGCCTTTATCTCAGGGAACGCACTCCCCTCCGAGCGACGAGAAGGCCGCATCACTGAGATAAAGATGGGGCACCATTCCCTTCCCTCCTGCGCCCCCTCCACCTCCGCTGAGATCTGACGCTGCCTGTGGTCTCGGTCCCTCAGGATGCGCGGGCAGACATGGGCCCCTTTGAGCCCTCCTGTCTGCTGCCCACCTGCCGGGATTACTGGACCTACCCGGGCTCCCTCACCACCCCTCCGCTAACCGAGTCGGTCACCTGGATCCTCCAGAGGACGCCCATCGAGGTGGCCCAGAGCCAGGTGAGCCGCGCCTGTGACCGTGTGGTAGGACTGTGTTGGAGAAGTTCCCCTGTCTGGCAGCATCACTAAGATTGCGAGCAAGCCTCACGGAGTTTCCTTCTCTGAGCGTGTTTGATGCTCCTGCACAAGAAGAATTTTCCAATTGGAATAGGAGCTCGTGGGGATTGAACAGAAGTTCCTGAGATCACAGCTCTCCCTCTGACGTTGAGATATTAGTGTGTGAGAGGGAGAGAGACAGAGACAGAGAGAAAGGGAGGGAAGCCGGAGAGGGGACTGACATGAGGGGGCACAGCTATACTGCCGCACTTCCGAATCGTGAGTGGTTTGGGATTCAGACGCGGCATGGATCCCTAGGGTCAGACGCTTGAACTAGGTCACTGCTTGCTCTTCAGTCTGTGTCGAGGTGAAGTGACTTTAAAAGAGAAGAAGTGACGTTATAGTTGGGACATAGGTCCTTGCCTGTAACGGACCACAGTAAGTATCTGTTGACGAATAAATTAACCGAGAAAGGGGTGTCCCGGATGGAAGCTGGAAAGCGGTGAAAGAAGTAGGGTCATTGAGGGCAAAGAGGCAATTCTGGAGGTTGTCCTGCTCTTTGGATGCTAGAACAGGAAGAAATCGAGATTGCAGAGGGTTTTCTCACCTGCTGTATTGAGAAGTTATGGCACTAGATATGCCGGGAGGAAATTCCAGAAGGATTGTGTTAGCCTGCTGTTGCTACTGTAATGCCGAGTAACAAACCACCCCAAAATGCAACGGCTTGTAGCAAGTCTGTGTTTTTCCTGCTCCCGGGTCTCTGGGCTCGCTGGGGAGGCTCTGATTGGGACCATTGGCTGCCCAGGGCTGGTTCACAAGTTAAATGACAAAAATGCAAAAGATAAGCCACAGGGCACATGCACAGGCATCTGCTTATGTCATGCCCACTCACACCCTATCGGCCAAAGCAAGTCACAGTGGCCAGGCCAATGTGAGTGGAGTAGGGAGGAGCGACTGAGTGTTTACTGAGCCGTGTCCCAACCTATCACATACACACACTAGAGAGTCAGGGCTCACTGTCCTGGGGTCATAGGTCTGCAGTGACTTTTGTTTGCTTCCTTTTCCTTGTCTAAATATTCTACTTTTTTTTTTTTTTTTTTGCTAAAAATGAGTAGATATTACTTGTATACTTTTTAGGAAAGTTATAGTATCTTTTTCTCCGGAAATCTCCAGGACCTGGAAAAAGTCTGTCTGTCTAGGGCAGTTTCGGGTTTAGGAATGATGATTATGCAGCCAGCGCGCTGCCTCTCTCCCACCCCATGTCCAGGGCTGACGTTACTGGTCAAGCCCCGTCCTCTTTCTGGGGGCTCTAAATGAGGTCTTAGAGGGTCCTCCAGCCTCACGATTCTGTGAGAATATTCTCTTATTTAAAAGTCTCAGAATGATGCTGTTGGCTTTGAAGGGCTGACTTCGAGATGTGGGGTGTGTTACCCACCGTTCCCCCAGACCAGAACTGTTACAGACACGAGGAAGACATGAGGAGACACGAGGAAGGCCTTGTTTGACAAATGACCCCTGTCACCCAGACCCCTTTTGTCACCAAACAAACAAGTAATAAGCCCCCATCACGTGTCACATGTTGTAACAGAAGAGGGTGGGAGAGGCCTAGGAATGAGGGGGTGATGGAAACAGGGATGCATCTCTGCACACTGCCGTCTGGAGGGAAAGTAGAAACAGGCTGGGTGGTGGAGTACAAAAATGCAGAGCAGAAGCCGCTTACCCTGACCAGGGAGCTAGGGCGTGCACCCTCTGGGTGGTGGGCCAGAGTTTGCCAGGTGGGGGAGAGGAAAAGGGCGCATTTATAAGAGGGTGAATAACACGTGCACAGCAAGAGCATCCTGGACGGGCACACTGTGCTGAGTGCCCGGGAAACTGTGCACCGCACTCCCACAACTCCAGGGGGCGCCCCATCGGTCCAATAAACGGTCACTGTGAGATCTAATCCCAGTTTCCGTATTTAATTAGACATGTGACTTATTCTCACAGAGCTCATCAGTAAGTTCTGAGAAGAGATGAGATGATGCATAAACGTTCACTCTGAGTGAAAAGCAACCAGTGTTACCTTAGCGTTTATGCTGTGTGCATGAGTTATCTATTGCTGTGTAACAAATTGCTCCAAAATTTAGTAGCGTAAGAAAACCATCATCATTTCTCATCCCTCAGAGTTCTGTGGGTCAGAATTTTGGGTGGCCCTGCCTTCAGATCTCTGACGAGTTGCTGTCAGATGTCAGTGGGGCTGCAGTTACCTGAGAGCTTGATGGGCCGGGGGATTCTCTCCCAAGTTGGCTTATTCAGGTGGTTGGCAAGCTGGTGCTGGCTGTGGCTATGGGCCTCAGTTCCTCTCCCGTGGGCCTCTCTGTGGGGCTGCTTGAGTGTCCTCTCAACATGGCTGCTGGCTTCCCCAGAGCAAGTGACCCAAGAGAAAAGGTGGAGGCTGCAAGGCCTTCTCTGACCCAGCTCGGGAGACACTCCCGCTATATTGCATTGACCATATAGGGCCAACCCTGATTCAACGTGGGAGGGACCGCACAGGCCGGAGGGATCCTGGGGTTGGCTCACTCTGTACCCACACCCGGCTTACTCTGTTGCTCTCCATTCCAGCTGGCCGCGTTTCGCACGCTCCTGTTTTCTGCCCTTGGTGAAGAAGACAGGACAATGGTGAACAACCGTCGCCCCCTGCAGCCCCTGATGAACCGGAAGGTCCGTGCGTCCTTCCAGCCCGCAGGAGAGGGCGCAAGGTCCTAACCTGATTACGTCCAAGTTAGCGGGCAGAATCGGCTTTAAAAAGAAGTATTGTGTCCCGAGTGTCATGGTCTGATCACACGTCACCTCAAAATTAACATACAAAATTAAAAAGAGAGAGCACTGTTTTAGTCAAGGTACTTTTCAGTTGCAAGGAAAGCAAATCACTTCAAAGAAGCTTAAGGATGATAGGGAATGGAACCCTGGGACAGAGTATCCCAGGGGACCCACGGCAGTGCACGGTGGCCTCATGGGGCCGAGCAAGCCCCAGCTGACCGAGGTCGTCTGCCCGGCCCTCTCACAGTTCCACGCTTTCCTCTCTGCAGACGGGCACCCTCTGTTTCCCCACATTCATGGCCACCCTGTCGTTTCCAGGCAACAGAGGCTAAGACCAACATCCTTCTTTGCCATTTCCAAATTCCTGGATGTACCAGCGTCCTGGGGCTGCTGTAACAAATGACCACACACTGCGGGAGGGAGAGAGAAACAAACGAAATGCATTTTCCCACAGTTGTGAGACAGAAGTCCACGATCAAGGTGCCAGCAAGGTCGGGCTCTGGCGAGACTCTCTCCTTGAGCTGTAGACAACATGTTCTCACTGTGCCCTCACCCGGCCTTTCCTGAGGGCATGCAAGCACCTTTCTCCTTTCCTCTTCTTCTAAGGCCAGCAATCCTACCAGATTAGGACCCCACCCTTATGACCTCATTTAACCTCAGTTACCTCCTAAAAGCACCACCTCCAAATGCAGTGACGCTGTGGCTTAGGGCTTCAACATATAAATTTGGGGGGACTCAATTCAACCCATAGCAGCTGCAAACTTGGTGGCTTGAAACGATAGACATGTATTCTCTCATTGTTCTGGAGGCCAGAAGTCTGCAATCAAGGTGGGCCCGACTGGGGGCTGGCCCCGTGGCCGAGTGGTTAAGTTCGCGCGCTCCACTGCAGGTGGCCCAGTGTTTCGTTGGTTCGAATCCTGGGCGCGGACATGGCACTGCTCATCAAGCCACGCTGAGGCAGCGTCCCACATGCCACAACTAGAAGAACCCACAACGAAGAATACACGACTATGAACCGGGGGGCTTTGGGGAGAAAAAGGAAAAAATAAAAAATCTTTAAAAAAAAAAAAAAAAAAAGGTGGGCCCGACTGGCTCCCCCTGGAGGTTCTGGGAGAATCTGCCCATTGTCTTCTCCAGCTCCTAGAGGCACCACATTCCTTGGCTCATGGCCCCTTCCTCCATCTTCAAAGCTGGGGAGTTTTCCAGAGTTGCTTGGTATATGCTGCCATTTAATTGCGGTCACTGGAGGGTGTGTAATTGGTTTCTCCCTGCGGGGTTTTTTTTTAAATTGTGATGAAATACACACAACATGAAATTACTATCTTTAACATTTTTAAATGTACAGCTCAGTGGTATTAAACACATTCATAATGTCACACAGCCATCACCACCATCCATCTCCAGAGCTCTTTGCATCTTGTAAAACTGAAACTCTGCCCCCATTAAACACTCACTCTCCATCCGCCTTCCCGGCCCCTGGCGCCCACCATCCTACTTTCTGTCTCTATGAATTCGACTCCTCTAGGGCCCACATATAAGTGGAATCAGACAGAATTTGTCTTTTGGTGTCTGGCTTATTTCTCTTGCATAATGTCCTCAAGGTTCATCCATGTGGTAGCAGGTGTCAGAATATTCTTCTTTTTTAAGGCAGAATCACGTCCTAATTGAGAATGGCATTTTTATTTTAATAGCATTAAAAACATTCCCTCTGGTAGAGATGCAGCTCTACAAACAACCTAATCATATTATCTTCCGACGTGACCTTACCGTTGGATAAATGGCGAAAAACAGCACAGAAAAATAAGCAAGTGCAAACCTGTCCACAAGGTGTGGTGATAAACTCCATTTCATTCTGGGGAGACAAAGAATAAATAGACTTATTATAATCCACAAAAACGTCTGAAATCAAAGAGAACCTATGGGATGGATGTGGCTTATTTTGGCACAGATTTACAGGTTTTCCCCCCATCACAGAACTTCCTCAGGTACCAACAATTTACGGTCTGGCGTTGGGCCATTCAGTGTTCTGGCGCCAACTACAGAGAAAGCCGCCCTAAACTTCCTTATACGTGTTCTTTCCTGAAAAGGGGGCACTGCTCCCCAGCGCCCGTGACAGCGCAACGCTTTGTCCAAACACAGCCCAACAAGCTTTCATGTTGGTTCACAAAGGCCCTGGAGGCAGTGTTGCCTCACCTCAGTCTGGGGGCCTGGGTGACGGTGCACGCCGTGGCAGTCAGCGCTGGGTGCGGAGCGTGGATGGGTGGATGGTTCCCATCACCAAGGACAGGTGGCATCCTGGAGGGAAGGAGATATTTTTAAGTTAGGTTTGGACCCAAAAATATTTCTTGTCCTCTGGGGAAATGCAGCCATTCTTGAGTCTTTATGGAGAGTTTGCTGCAGCTGCTGTAACAAGTTAACACAAACTTAGTGGCCTCCAACAACCTTACAGTTCTGGAGGCCAAAAGTCTGACACGCATCTCACTGAGCCGAGTCAAGGTGTCTGCAGGGCTGGCTCCTCTAGAGGCTCCAGGGCAGAATCTGTTCCTTCACCTTCTCCAGCTTCTAGAGGTGCCCACACTCCTTGGCTTGTGGCCCCTTCCTCCATCTGCAAAGCGCATCACTCCAACCTCTGCTTCCATTGTCATGACTTCTCTCTGACTCTGACCCTGCGCTTCTCTCTCACGAGGACCTTGTGATTCCGTTGGGCTCACCAGATAATCCAGGATCATCTCTCATCTCAGGATCCTTCACTTAATCCCATCTGCAGAGTCCCTTTGCCACGGAAGGTCACATATCCATAGGTCCTGGGGATTAGGTCAAGGACAGCTTGGGTCCTTACTCAGCTGACCACACTGTATATGCAAAACCAGAATGTGGCGACTTCCGCCAAGCTGCACACAACAGCCCTGAGGTTGGTCTGCCCTGGGGGTTCATGGAGGGGATAGACTAGGCAAGGCACCAGGGAACCACAGGGCTCAGTGGGGGAAGAGATGTTGGAATGTTCTAGAGCTCACTATCCTATATGGCAGCCCTCAGGCACACATGGCCATTGAGCGCTTGAAATGTGGTCAGTGCAACTGAGGGACTGAATTTTGATTAGATGTAATTTTAATTAGTTAAAATTTAAGTGCTACATGTGACCAGCCAATGGCCACCATGTTGGATGCACAGTTCTCTCTCTTGACCTGGGCCTTACATAGGTGTGTACATGGGAGCACAAAAAACCACTGAGGTGAGCACTCAATATTTGTGCCCTTTACACACTTATGGGCTGTATATTATACCTCAGTTTAAAGCAAACACTTCGCTGCCCACTTGAGAGCTGAGGTTTCTGAGGCCCTGCAGACAGGACACGAGGCCACCTGGGATGTCGACACATGCAATTCTGGGAATAAGTGAAACAGGCGCTGGGAATAAGATCAGAGGCACCAGGGTGTACCGACGAGGGTACAGGGCCCACAGAAAGACTAATCAGGGATGTCACCAGGGTCACCTAGTGGAGACCCCCGACAGACAGTCCTCCCGTGGCCTCCTTCCTTAACTGCCGAGGACGTCATGAAATGTACTGCCACCAGGTAACTGGTCCCACCCAGAGAAGTCAACTCTGTTTACGGAGTCAGGACACGAGTAATTCATTGTCAGCAAAAACAGTTTAAAATAAAATCTGTTTTGGTTCGTAAAAGGATCGAGTTCAGTGGCGATGCCAAGTGAAAGCGGGTTGGCTTGAAGGAGTCAAATAGATGTTGAAAAAGGAATGCGATTAAAACGGATGTGTCTCAGCTCAGCTTTACGCTGACATCCTGCTCACTTAGGATGGAGAATTAAGAGAATACCCAACAACAGGCCTGCCGCCACCAACAGTAGTCCACACAGCTCGGCCGCGCTCCCGGCCAGGCCCTGGGCTCAGTGTTATGCACATTCTCAATCCTCATCCCCTGTGTGTGTTGGCACCACACGGAGCCCGGCCCCGACCCCTCAGAGCTTATGGTACCCTGGTCTGAGGACTGGTGCTTTTAAAAAGCTCCCCCGTGACTGGCCTGTGTGGCCAGGTATGAGCACACAGCAATCCTGTTTATAATGGGTTCACAGAAAGTTCCATGCAAATGTCCCCAGGTTTTGATGGGGAAACTCAGGCTCACTTGGGAGGTTGAGACCTGCTCAGGAGGGCAGAGCAGGGGGGAGCCGCTCCTGGATTGTGGGCCGTCCTGGGGGCCTGCACAGAGTTTGTTTTTGCCCTTCTGATGTGCGCAATTAAATGCAATAAAAAATGCAGCCTCGCAGCAAAAGGACAAAGTCCTGGACTTCACCACTTAGTGAGAAACCTTATCCTATAATAACCTGAAGGTGGATCGTGATGGAAACTCCACCCCGAAGGCACCTGCTCAGGCCTCCTGTGGCTCATGGGGACGTGTCCTCAGAGAGGAAGCAGCGGCCATCATTGGAGGGTTGGAGCTGGGGATGGGGGCACAGAGCAGCCAGGCGGCTGTCCTCTGTGGCTGTCCATTTCCAGAGGGACTTTGGGCCGAGAAAGGTCCGGGTGTCCAGAGGGGTCTCACAGGCCAGAGAAGGGATGGCAGCACCCTGAGCTTGGTGCCCCTCGCCACACAGTGGTATCACGTCTCAGCAAGAATTCGGGGGAGACAACTTTCATCCTCCTTTTTCCTGTGGACACAACGGTCTTTGTCCCCTGGTGGATGTTCTCTTCTTTGTAAAACTGGCGTTAATCCTGAGACCCAGATCCCCCCGGGACCACGTGGAACCTGGGTGCCCTGCAGGGAAACCACCAACCCCTGGGGAGGAAATACCTTGACTGCAAGCCTCAAAGCGACGGACGAACAGCAGGCCGGGCCCTTCCACACCATCCTGAGCGCGGGGACATCAAGGTCAAGGTCTGCGGGGCTACTGGCCGGACAACGTGCACTGTGACGGGACTCAGGACTGTGTGGTGGGGTTTCCGGCCCAGTGTTTAAAGTTCAAGCCTTCCTCCCTTTGCTTTCATGCTATTTTCTCGTTTTGTAAAAATGCAAATGTGTGAGAGGCCTTGCTCCCTGGGGACAGACGGCCACCCGCCTCG